GATATCTTTTCTCAAATTCACCCTAGTTTTGCACAGCATGTGGTATGATTGCCGGCCTGGTGTCAGGTTACAAAGGACGTTAGGTACTAGTGATTAGTATTTTTAGTTTCTATAGGTCATAAGCTTTCTACTGATATATAGTTTGTCATAACTCTGGTGAATATCTTTAAAATTACAGCCATTTCAAAAATGGCCATCAATCCATGTGTACCCCCCCCCCCCTTAATTGCTCCAACATTCACCGGATGCAATTAATTAAAGTACGGCTCTTCCCAGAAGTTAGTGCTATATAGGTCAGTACTTTATGTAGTACTTTATAGAATGTCACGTTCTTAAAAACTTCCTTTTATTTTATTCTGTGAATTTACTGTATGTATAAACTGAACAGGGTTTATTACACAACGAGTAGTTTAATATAGTAGACAGGATGGAAATTAAGAATTGCCAAGATGAAGATGCGATTTTCACTTTAATGAGGGAAGCAAAAATTACAATGATATCAGAACTACCAGTGCAAAAACTACATTCAATACTTCAGCGACTTCGTTGAGTGAAGCGTAAAAAAATTGGTTAAATATTTCATAGATCTGAACAACTTAACTAGTCACTATCATTTAGTTTTTAGTCAGTCCCAATCACCGTTCCCGGAACTTTACGGCAACCTAGGCCTTGCATGCAGCAGGGAACCTCTGGGAACGAGGACAGGCCGCCCTGGGAGATATCACGACTCGGGGCAAATTACATATAACTTTAAAGTCCATAGCACTAAAGTATCAAGTATGTGTTAGGGCAGTCCTACAGGGTGTTCTGCACGGGGTACTGATTTTGAAATCAGAACATAGTGAGTCCCATTAAAAGTTGACAGTCATATCTATCCATCACTTCCACTCGAAGCAAATTGCCTCTTTTGCTCCCATCAGCATGCATTCAGCAGCCACGGCGGTTTCACCAGTTTGTGGCTATAAAGGATGCCGGATTTTGGTATACCTTATAGCCACGACGGTTTCTGGCTTTTCAGGATACCTGATTTCGATCGGCATATTTGATAGCTACAATCCTAGACAAATGACATGCGGACGCTGATTAAAAATGGCTGAAATTTAAAGGAATCGAATAATTATACGCATATTCGGCCGTATTCCCCGCTCCACGTCACTGAATAATTATATGCATATTCAGCCGTATTCCCCGCTCCCCCGTTACAATGTTGTTGCTACAGACTGACTGCAATAGTTGCCATAATGACTGAAGTGTTCATCAACATTGTTTCAGGGGAGGGGGGACCGACTTTACGAAGTATATATGAAAATGTTTCAAAAAAAAATTTATTTGCCATGTTTGTCCGAGTAAATTTGTCTATGATTGTAGCTACGACGGTTTGTGGTTCACGGTACAAAGGATACCAGATTTCGGCATCACCTTGTAGTCACAGTAGTTTGTGGCTATAAAGGATTTTGGGGTACCTTATAGCCACGGTGGTTTGTGGTTACAAAGGATACCAGACTTCAGTATACCTTAAAGTCACGGCGGTTTGTGGCTACACTTCCAGATTTCAGTATACCTTAAAGCCACGGCGATTTGTGGCTACAAAGGATACCAGATTTCAGTATACCTTAAAGCCACGGCGATTTGTGGCTACAAAGGATACCAGATTTCAGTATACCTTAAAGCCACGGCGATTTGTGGCTACAAAGGATACCAGATTTCAGTATACCTTAAAGCTACGGCGGTTTGTGGCTACAAAGGATATCAGATTTCAGTATACCTTAAAGCCACGGCAGTTTGTGGTTATAAAGGATACGGCATTTCGGCATTATTAAAGGTGATCTACAGTCCGATCTGCGCATGTGCACAAATGAGCCCACTTTTTATGATACAAACAGTTTAACAATGTTTTGAGTTCTTGAAAAGCCTGATTGTTGTTTCTTGATCATTTATTATACTCTAGAAGCTTGAAAATATAAATAGTTGTCGAATAAAGCTCAATATTTTGGACACAAAAATGTAAACAAAGGCTTTGTTTACATACGGACTGTAGATCACCTTTAAGTGGCTATATAAAAGGATACCGGATTTAGGTGTACCTTATATGACCACGGCGATTTGGGGCTATAAAGTGTACCGGATTTCGGCATAGTTCGGCCATGCGTACGTCGGTTTGTGGCTATAAAGGATACCTACGGCATATTTATAGCCACGGCGGTTTGTGGTTATAAAGGATACCGGACTTTAGGCATGGCTTATTTTGTCACGCAGTCTGTAGCTATAAAGGATTTCGGATTTCGGCATGAGGATGGCGGGTTTCGGTATACCGCATGGGGATGTTCCTGCCTTAGAACTAAAGCCAAGGGCACGCGCACGGAGCTGATGCTCTCGAGACAGACTACACTGCTTAGATAAGGGAAACTTGTTCAACAATATCCTGAAAAAGAATTCGTGCATGGATTTGAATCCATTTTATTTGAACCGACATTGTTCTGGATGGAACCGGAGGGAGAAATTCAGGAAAAACAGTTTTTTCATCGGCGCCTATTGTTTCTAACTTTGCCAGGATATCTCAGATATGACCAAGTCGCAGCTGCATTTCTTAAAATGACGTAATGATAACTTTGCAAAATGACGTCATTATGTTATTTTCACAAAATCAGATATTAAATGTCTTATCCAATCAGCGTTGAGCAAGAATCCACGTTTCGTTTCAGGAGGGGTGATGTATGAATTTACTAGTTTAATGGCGGAGGTAAATAAACATTTGTGGCAAGAAAAATGAAGAAATATGAGTGCAGATCGTTTGCTTCTAGCTTTTGTTCATTACTCACAGTGCTAACAGCAACTACAGTTAGTAATGGCGTCGAAAATGTTGGGGAAAGCGGAAATTCGCTTGTGTTATCCGACAGATTTACTGAGTATGTACTGTATATTTTTGATATTTTATATCATCAATTCGTGATTTTTATGTACGTACAGTAATCATATGTAAGCTACATGTAAAAGAAATATTATTACCATAAAGATAACTTTTCACGAGTTTAAATTTGTATTTAATCTTAATTCCTTCTAATCAGGCAATATATCAATATTAATAATGGCTGACATTAAAGCAAAAATTAGGCGAAAAATTCAAAAGTAATAAACATATAATAGTTAATAATAGTTATAAATAAATAGGTTTTTGTGATGTCCAGAATTATCAATGTCAAGAAGGAGTTAATATGAGCCGAAGCAGAAGGTTGAGAATAATAGTACTTTGAGACCTTGATCATTTTGGATATATATCGCAAAAGCAAATTTAACAATTGTTTTACACATATTGTATGATGGGGTTATTAAACTCCTATATATGTGTATATATAATGATCGTTTTCGTGGGTCTGATGATCGTTATTGTGAAAATGGAGTAACAGCTTGTTAAAGTTTTAAGTTTTTATGTGTGTGCATGTTAAATATGCACATACGGTAGAGCACTGTTTGGGCGTGCAGTTCAAACCAGTTAATATTATGTAGACTAACCCTTTAAGTAGCAATGTGCCCAGATGTGCCTCACTTTATTATTTTACTCTATTTAACACCAGACGATTTTAGTCATCGGGGGGAGAGTGGGAGATTGCTGCCACTTAATGGGTTAATCAGACTATCTGCCCATGCACCCTGTTAACCATTTAAAGTCAATTTCAACTTACTTTTCACTAAAATGTTGCGAACTTCGTTCCGAACTTCGCAAATTCGTTGCCAAGTTCAAAAGTTCATAATGAAATTCACAAACAGGTTTGTAAACAAAGCCTCTGATTGGCTATTAAATCAAACCAGCCAATCAAATGCCCAGTTTACAAACCTGTTTGTGAATTTCATTATGAACTTTTGAACTTGGCAACGAATTTGCGAAGTTCGGAACGAAGTTCAGAACATTTGAGTGAAAAGTAAGTTGAAATCGACTGTAAGTGGCAATGCACCCAGATGCGCCCCACTTTATTATTTTACTTTGTCTATAACGCCAGATTATTTTACTCTGTCTAACGCCAGACGATTTTACTCGTCAGGGGGAGAGTGCTGTCACTCAATGGGTTAAATTAGCATTTAACACTTTGAGCTTCAATGTGCCTTATTTAAAGCATCCTTTTTTACTCTGCCTAAAAACAGCTGATTTCACTCCTTGTGGGGAAGTAACAGTCTAATACCCCAGACTGCAGAGTATGGCAGTTTTTGACGAGATCTCTGGTGTGCGAGACAATCGTTTAGGTGTGCGACAATCCTTTCTGAACTTTATTCAAGTGTGCACTAAAGTTAGTGTTAATTAATGTTAAAAATTGCAAAAAAATGCAACAAATACGAGATGTGTAGGCGTAAACATAGCCAAACAAGTGTGCAAAGTTGTTGGACAAAAAAATTCTCGAGTGTGCACTTGCCATATTCTAATATCTAATATCCCTATGATCAACACTAGATACATACTATAATTATTATAGAAGTCTTGTAATTGTGGGAACATTGGATGGTAAAGTCAGAGGATTGGATCCTGTCAAGAATGGAATGATCAGATGGAGTGTTGCTCTTTCAGATGAACCTCTCTTGTCATCCAGCTTGAATTCTGTGCAGGTAATTACCAGATCAGTTCATGAACACCATATTAACACATTAATTAAGTTGCAATATACCATAAAATATGCTGTACTAGTACTTTGTTGTTTTAAAAGCCAGACAATTTTACTCATCAAGGGCAGAGCGCTGGTGCTGAATTGGTTAAAGGTTGTATAACTAGGGATATTTTTAATTGGGGGATAATGGAGACATTTATATTAGCCCAGATAATTCCATATATAACTGCATGCTAACAGGCTTCTGTAAGTAGTTGGAGTTTATTTTTACCTATTAGCTACAATCGCCTCTTCAAAGGGAAAAAGCAGATCGAGTGACTTGTTTACAACTACTTGGAATTGTCATTTTGTTTCAAGTGCCGGAGCCACTTAAGTATTGGCAAATTGTTATGTAGGTTAAGTGTAGGGAGTGTACAAGTCCTTCCTGCAAGACCCCCAGCACTGGCCTTCTGGAAAGTTAGTATTAATTAATTGAACAGCAGTTCTCACAATCTTTGGCCAATAATACTGCCTGAAGTAATATTATTGACAGCAGTTTCTTGCCAGTGGTGATCAAAAACTTATTTGCTATATTCTGTAAAGGAAATTATCTAACAAAGACAATTAACGACTAGTGAATATACACATAATAATCCATTTGCTATTTATATAATTATGCATATTCAAATTGTCATTATAGGGACAAAAATTCTAATAAAAATATATCAATGGCATGCAATTTTTTGTCTACAAGGGATTTTTGAAATTGGACTGGATTGGGAATTTTCACATCCTGTGAGAATAATCTACTCCTCCATTTGTGTAGAAAAGAAAAAATGTTTAACTTTTTGATTCCACCTGATAGATGATGAAAGAATTTACTGGTTTTCGTCTAATACCGTCCTTGGATGGTGGTCTTTATGTTCAATCCTCACAGGACAGTATTGAGGTATAGAATATACAAACATACACAATCTCACTGAGGGTTGAGATTTACCTAACTTGGCCACATGCCCACACCCTGTGTTAATGAGGGTTTAAAAGAGGAGTACCAAGTGGACAGATCTGCAGATTTCCCTTACAAAAAATGTCTATAAATAAATATATAGCCTTGTCCAGGGCTTCAAATTCATGGTATCCCGATATCCCGGCGATACCAGATTTTAAATTTGGATACTGGAAATCACAAGCTCAGTGCTCAGTATCCCAAGGGATACTGAAAAAAATTCTATCCACGACTGATATTTCTGAAAATAATACAAGAAGATAAACGAAGTGAAAGGTGATCGAATTTGACTGAGCAGGTAGACGCGCTCAAAAAAGTGCCGAAGCCAAGCAAAGTATAAAGAAACAAAGCGTTGTCAAAAGTTTAAAATGGCTTGAAAAAATCCTTTCCACAGGTAACACTCGTGAACGAAAAGATGTTTTGCAATTGTGGAATACTAGATTTTCTGGGTGGATACCAGATTTTAAGTTGCTATTATCCCGTTGGATACTGCGGAAAAATTCAAATTTGAAGTCCTGTTGTCTATAGGCCAGCCTATAGGTTCCTCTAGATACAGTAGGTTTTCAATAATAGGTTTTCATAGGCAATTGGTGACCTATAGGGATGCCTATAGAACTCTATAGGCGCCTATATGGTTCTTTAGGGAATTGGAACACTTCTTATATAGGCAATGATAGATAGGCCACCAATTTAGACTTTTTTCATAAGGGATTATAGTCACTATGGGGAAGAGTGTAAACAGTACAATCTGTCGAGTTGGAACAGGATGGATATTTAAGTGTAATATGACGTCCCTATTTAAGACATACTGCACATTCTAAATAATATCTGCATTGCTACAATAACCACAGTCTTTCATCTGTTGTGTATACCAATACATCTTGTTGCATTTAACTTTTTTAGCCAATGCCTTTAAATGCAGACACTTTGTTAAGTTCGTCATTTAAGTTGAATGATGGGATAGGTCTGGTTGGTGGAAAACATTTTCAACAAATGGGTATTGATCCTGAGACAGGAAAGGTTTGTTTTTTTAAGTGTGTAAAATAGCGATGGCATGTCGCCTGTACAGACGAGCCAATAAAACTTGTCATAGAAAACTTTCAAGATCGTTTGCAACCATAACCTAATTAATAATGTATTCATTAGGTAATATACTCGTGTTCTGATGATGGTTGTGATAGTAGTGGATCTGATTCGTTAAGGGACATTCTTGTTTTAAAACGAACCCAGAAAACTGTCCGAGCTGTTAGTGAAAGGACTGGTGCTGAAAGGTAATTAGTTTTGATGAGTTTTGTATTGGTTCGTTGCCAGGCATTAATGGCAGCTTGCCTGAAATGATTAACTGATAACAGAGTTGTGAAAGGTTTTCGTTACTATGAAAGCTTGATAGCTATGCCTTAGAGTCGAAAAATTAGCTTGGTGGAAGACTGCAAGGACTGGCATTTGTATCATTTAGCAAGGTCGGATTTTGGTGGAAATAGTGGGGGAGGTGGAAAACGTTTAGGGGAGGTGCAGCGGTCTAGCTCGCGATCCCCATGGAAAGTTAGAGCTTAGAACGAGCCAAAGTTAACGACCTGACGTATGCATGTAGTGTACATATGTATCCAGTGTATTGAATGAATTATGACTGTACATCTCACCCAATTTTGCTCTTCATTACAGTTACTACAAAGTTTCTTTCAAAACTTTGCATTAAAAGTGTACTTGACACAGAGATGAATTGCTATCACTGTTTCAATTTTACAGGAAAAACGTTCTTACGAAGTGTAGACCCTAAGCAACCAAAAATGTCAAATTTTCACTTTGATCTATCATTGCAAAAATTCTCAGGGGAAGTGCAAAACGATCTCAGTCAGGCCTTAAAATATCGTTCGGTCACGGACATTGTCCGATCCATTCGTGAAATTGTCCGACGCAGAAAAGAAACCACCGGACATTCTGTCCGATCAAGGTGAAACTGAGGTTTATTGTTTGTCCGACCCGAGTGTATTGGTGTCCAACCGAACTGTAGCTTTGTCCGACGTAAATCAAAATGTACCCTAGCCCAGGACTAGAGGCTTGTATGTTAAATGGAAAATCAGAGTACTATTGTATAAAAGGTCAACTGGAAATGTTGTTTTAACGTAGTCGAGCGCGGGGCGGCGAGCGAAATGGTGAAGTGGAAAACGGGCTTAAGTTGTCGAAGTCTTTTTTAATACTGCTGTTCTGGAAAGCAAGTTAATTTTGGCTTGGAAATAAGTATGAAAGGAACAAATTATTTAATATCTTTACAATTACATTTACCGTTTATTCATTTGTGTCATTCAGACTTATTTCCGAGTCAAAACTGAACTGAAGGTCATCGGACATATGTCCGACCCAAATTCAACGTCACCGGACATTTTGTCAGACGGCCCTGTAAAAGATATTTTAAGGCCTGCTCAGGGAAGGTGCGCAAATGCTGAAATGCACCAGAAAATGCTGCTGACAGTTGAACTATTTTTGTTTCTAGATGGAATTTTTCAGTTGGCCAACACAAACTAAGTCTCCTAAATGCTCACTCAGATATCACACGCCAACGAGAAGACGGTAAAATCAAGCAAGATATCCAAGTCTCCATTCCTGAGGGGATTGTAGCCGTTGTTGACAAATCTGAGAGTGAAGGAGAGAATATCGTATGGAAACAACAGTTCGACACACCAGTTGCTGCCGTCTGGCTCGTACATAATGGTGTTCTTGAGGAACTGGATTTACTGAAAATTGCTGTACCACCAAAATCTTTAAATCAAAATAACGAGATGCCATTGATGTATTATATTGGTAAGAAGTTTTATATAATAACTACAGTGAAACACGCAATTTGATTGGTCAATAGCCGTGCAGGATCAGGCTATCCTGCACGAGGAATTAAAATGCCTTCGCGGGATTCTCAAAATGTCATTGTTTCACTGTAGTAATTTTATAAAACAATTACCAAATGGTTTTCCAAGCAGGATAGCGTGATCCATGCACTTGGGATGTTGCTCGACTTTCGGAAAGCGTAAAAACACACTCGCCTGCGGCTCGAGTATTTTTACGCTTTCCGTAAGTCTCGCGACATCCCTCGTGCATGGATCACGCAATCCTGCATGGAAAACCATTCCAAAAAGAAAATCATTTACAGGGTAGATCGTTCTGTTTCTTCATTCAGGTTCTCATGGAGATCAACGTTACATCCATCTATCTGACAAGATGGAAGACGCAGTCAGGATTGCAATCGAGAAAATGATGTCACAGTCAACCAATCAGGATCAAGCGGTAGCTGAGCATCCTATGAGGAGGATAGTTTGGAAGCCATATTTAGCAACGTCTGCTTCACGTACCCCCGCTATTGTTGGCAAAACTGAACTAGCTGTTCGTCAACCTCTTGATTATCCTTTTGGTTAGTATACAAAGCCTTTTTGTCTCATTTGCGTTTTATTATAGTTCAGAATGATATATACGTTCACATTAATTATTTTGAAATGTTACCGGCTTTATTTCCTCGTGCGTACGACCAAGAATACAATCAATGCATTGTAGACGACATAACTATACCTGGCAAATGTAGAAATATATACTGTACCTACACTGCAGTCTGGTCCAGAGACTTGCATTGGGGATTGAGACTTTTTGCCTTTAACCTAACTAATGTTAAGTTTTTCCGGTTATACTGTATGTATAACTTAATAATGCCTTAGCATATCGGCGATAACAGAAATGAGAGTCTTTAGCGTGGTCTCAACCCAAGTTCTCTGAGGTCAACATACTTTTCAAGAAGGGTGTATTGTTATACAATGAATTTGCAGACTATAAATGAGTTATGAAGTCTAACAAAAGCAATAAAACTTGACGAAATAAATTTTCCCGCTTGAAAAGCCATAAAAAATGGTACGCAATGCGTCCATGCTGTACAATATTCGATATACTTTTTCTTTCAAATGTTTTAAAATAGTAGATATTAAGTGGTCTGGGATGAAATTCTGTTACCTATATAATTTCTCTTACTTTAATGGAAAATTATTTTGTGAACACACATATATACCCTAAAGTGAAGTTCAAATTAGTTTTTCAGTTTCTTATTAAGGCAGTTAGGCGACACTTTCTGACTTTTGTTGTTTTTCTCTTATTAGCGAAATTATTCAGTTTATTGTTACTGTTATATAATTATGTTATAACAAATTTACCTTTAGATAATGGTAATTATTACTATGGTCAATTACCAACAATGAATGGAGATGAGTGTCTAAATAACAATACAAATGCCGAAGGCAACAGCGAACAAGGATTTTTAATGAAGTTAAAGAAATCCATTTCCAGATGGTGGTAAGAACGACTTAAATCTAGTGCAGAGAGAAACAATTTTGACTTTTGACTTTGACTTATTAAAGTTAATTTGCGTTGTTGGTTTAAGGCTGGTTTAGACTATCGAAGTTTCTGTGATCACAGTAGGAATTTTGCATCGGTAGATTGTGAGTTATGAAAGATTTGTATGAAATGTTTGGGGGAACTGACTCAGTCAGTCAGAGTTTGAGTCGGTTCTACTAATCCTTCAGAATTTGCCCATTCAAATTCCTATTGTGATCACAGAAGCTTTGATGTAATATATGAACAACGAGAGCGAGTGTTTCACAATGTATGTATATATACATTGTTTTCGAGTGTTTTCGTTTGCTGATTTGAATAGAATTCTTAACCAAGCATAACGTAATTAGGAATGGACCGTTTGAATTATAGACTCAATTTTGATCTAGACAAAAATTTCATCACAGCTTGAAAGAACATCACAAAATTAGTAATATTCCAAAGTTTCGTTGCGAACTGTTGTAAAATGCGGATAATATAGCCCTGCGAAGTTTGCCGTTTTTCAGTCATTTTGTATTTGCACGGGAAATTGACAGCCCAATCGGGTGTTGGGACATCAATTTCCCGTTTGTAATACAAAATCACTGAAAATTGCAAACTTCGCAGGGCTATATTATCCGCATTTTACAACATTTCGCAACGAAACTTTGGAATATTACTAATTTTGTGATGCTCTTTCAAGCTGTGATGAAATTTTTGTCTAGACTTGTTTAGATCAAAATTTAGTCTATAATACAAATGGTCCATTCTATTCAAGTAATTTTGCATGCGTAATTAAGATATTTGATGAAAACACACTAGTGACTTTCATCAAGTTTCACCGGGTTATCCAAATGGCATCTTGTGATCAAATAGGTGATTATCATTGGCTGAATTGCTCATGAATTATTAATGAATTTGAGAAAGTGTCAATGATGGTGTGGTGCAAAGATTTGTTACCAATGTTGTTCTTTTTACATAGGAGAGAATTTCTTATCTTTATTTTCACATTTGGCTTCTTTGCAAGGCAGATATTTAAGTATTGGCGGTTAAAGCATTCTGCTCTGGTAAGTTTGTCTCTTCGTGTCATTAGTGTTTAAGTGAATTTTGTGTTAAATTGCACTTATTTTTAATATTAATCTTATCTTTCAAGGAGAGAAATAATTTAATTTTAAATTTGCCTTGCGGCGATCTTGAAGTGGAAGTGAGAAGAAAAAGCGAGGCCGATAACAAAGTAAGAAAGCTTTTGAACACCACGATTAATAAATAAGATGTTGTTTACATGACTCAGGGCGAGATTGATTTTGAAGTATTGAAATAAGTCGGTATAAGTATAGACGAAAATTCAAACGGCGCAGAATTTAGAAACTAACATGTTGTTGATCATGTTGTTTAACAATTTTTTTACTGTTTAATATTGAAATGTTTTTCATTTACACTATTCAGCAAATGATAATCAGGAAAATATTGCAAATTTCCCGAATCATAAACCTTATATAAATTTTTCTCTGGATGATTTTTTCATTCATGAACTTCGATATTTATAGGCCGTACAATCACCGTCTCCAATGACTGTTCAATCCCCAGATAATTTTGTATCAAGGTAACTATTAGAAAATGTTATTTATATTAAAATGCTATAATACACCTTTCCGGAAAATACTTAGCAATGGCTATAGACCCTTGTTTCCTTGATTGAGATACTGGTTTTAGAGCCCTTTATCTTGTTCCTGATGACGTAATTATAAACAGGTCTTTTATGATGTTTGTGGTGTTACTCTGAGTGTGCATCCACACCGGGCAAGCTGAAAAGTTTGCCTGACCACAGTGGGAATCGAGCCCGCGACCCATCGTGGTCAGACAAACTTTTCAGCTTGCCTGGTGTGGATACACACTCAGAGTAACACCACAAACATCATATTCACCTGAGTACATAACACCGCCACACACAAAAAGGTCTTTTATATTCACTGATATAACTCTATGCTTTCGTAAATGTGTCACTTGTAACAATGTAAAGGGCTCTAAACCCAATATCGTAACGAAAACGAGGCTGTATAGCCAAGGCTGAGCAATTTCCAGAAGAGTGTATTGTATAATAGTATTCTATACCATGAATGTTTTTGATGATGGTTATGTGATGTAAGTTATCTTCATTTCTAGATATCAGTTAGACTTTGAACATGAGACGTGTTTGGGAAGTGGCGCATTTGGCTTGGTGTTTCAAGCAAGAAATAAACTGGACGATTGTCAGTACGCCGTCAAACGAATCAGACTTCCAAATAAGTATGTCTTCATTGAACAGTCCAGATTGAAACATTACAGAGACTCACATTTTGACTTCTACTACCGCTACCATGCATTAACGGTTAATCAATCAGATGCGTTTGTTCTACCCGATTAACGAATCAAATGCATCCCTTTATTGTCTGTTTGACAGGCTTTATATTCTGGTCAGCCAATCATGTCCAACTCTGTTCACGCTGTTTGGCTGTCATAAGGGACGGACCAAAAAAGTGAAGGGGAGGGGTGGGGGGTAAGGTGGCAAAGTTTTTGCCATACACATGCATCTTTTACAGTACAGTTCGCTTGGTGTGCATGCATTTTTTCAGAATTTTTTCCTTCTGTGAATTTCTTTTCTGTTCTTCTCCCCGTCACTTTTTTAATGGTCAGAACCATGAAATTGCATGCACATATTGAACATGCTGTTTGTTTACTGCTCTTTAGCCAAAAAGCTCGAAATAAAGTGATGAGAGAAGTGAAAGTACTGGCCACGTTGGAACATCCTGGTATTGTAAGATATTATAATTCCTGGTGTGAAGAACCTCCGGTTGAATGGCTGAGGGAGTGGGACGATAAGTTACGAGGAGATAGGTATAGAGAGAATATTTTGTACTTACACTGATGGCTTTATCATTTCTAAACTATTCTCTATTTTTTTATATACTGGATTGTTGTATCTGTTTTAAAATATTCTTCCTAGAGGTGCAGTGAGGGTCACCACATATTAATTCAGTGTTACTACAAGAGGAAACCTGAACTTAACTAACTTTTTAATACAGGGTATAGGTCGGTCAGTTCAAAACTGTTCCCTTTGCGGTTAAGTACAGGTTGCCAAATACAAGACATTCAATGCATTCATTATTATTATTACTTTTCGATATTTTTAATCAAAAAGTACAGGAGGGTTATAGTAATAAGGTTGATTGAAACACGATACGATTACTTAATAAGAAATATATTATTTTTCAATAGTAAATGTCCTACTATCAACACAATTCCGTCCTACACGAGCCCTTCGTCTGATGAAGATGTGCAGTTGCAGGAAATGTCTCTAAATGATCAGCTCTCAGATTATGAACGAAATGTTGACTTCACTCAAAGTAGACAAAGACATGACACTATTACTGTTGAGAATGAGGACGGCTTTAATGGGTCGACTTCAGGTCTCCATGAAGGGACTGACAGCTCTTTTGGTGTTGAATTCGAAGCAGAGACTTTCGAGCGCAGTGTGGCGAATAATAATGGAAATAAAATAAACGACGATAGTTCTGGAGTTGTCTTTCAGCATGTGAGTATTGTTGAGCAATTTCATTAAGCAATATCGTGCAGCCGATCAGCAAATGCCTGTCAAGAAAATAGTATTTAATCTTTTCATTTTATGTAGTAATATTAATAGACCGATTCGAAAAATAGTTGTCAATCCTTTTGCTTCCGAAATTAATTTCAACCAAAATAATCACTGCCGCCTGCAAAACCTTTTTTGGATCACTTTCTATGGGACATATAGGGATAGGATTAGGTTAGGGTACGGTCCATAACCTATCCCTATCCCTACATGTCCCTAATGTCCCATAGAAAGTGATCCCCCAAAACATTTTTGTCTGCCGCTTTATATAATACCATGTATATAACAGTTTCTGTTGGAAAATTGTTTATTAGCCTGGTGTGCAAATAATATAAAATAATGCAAAAGTGTGGTAGCTAGTCTTCGAATCGGTCAATATTAATTTTGATGATCAATAAATAAAATAGAGAGAATGATGTAGTTTATTTTTCTCTCGTTGTTTAAAACAGCACATTATTTCTCATCTGTACATTTAGACGAGCAAGATTCTACCATAAAGGACCATTTCAGAAATGAAGTTAAATATCGTATCTCCATATGTCTGTCTAAATATTCTCTGTTTTGTACTCATATTTTAGAGTTCGGCCACACAAGATGACAGTTTTACTTCAAGTTCGTCAGAAAGTGGAGAGAACAAGGTGGAAGCACAGCCTTTGGGTAAGCGTTGACTCGAAGGCAGACTCCGTATAGAGCGTTTGCACATGACGTCACAGCCGCCGTGTTTGTGTTCCAATTCAAAAGAATTTTAATTAGACTCTTTTGTCTGGAACACCAACATGGCCGCCATGGCTTTTGTTGAGTTGGTCCCTGGGGAATGAGTGCAAACGCTCAAGTAGCTTCTCATTTCTCAGTTGAATCACATCTTGAATATGGGTGCCTTAAATTAAAACGTAATCCTTAACCATGTTTCCACCACGTTTAGGGAAAGCGCGATTTCCATTGCATTTACTGTATATTCAGATGCAACTGTGTCGGAAAGACAGTTTGAAAGATTGGCTCAATGCTAATACATCGAACAGAAATTTCTCACACAGTATTGACATCTTCAGACAGGTACGGTATTTTCAACCATTTTTGGAAAGAAAATAATTGACTTACACACCGAATGTACCATCTGAATCAACTCGTCCCCAGGGATTTTGGTTCCACCTACCGTGTACACTACTCGGGAGCCCTGGGGATGAGGTTTCTGACTAACTTGATCTTACTGACCAACCGATCTCACTATTAGTGTTTTGTTGACTTGTAGCTTGTTGTTGCTGTGGATTACATACACCAGAAAGGTCATATACACAGAGACTTGAAGGTTTGTAATATGTATTTCATAAGCCAAAACACATGATTAGTTATTAAAGTCGATGGTTCATTTTAATGGTTCATTTCAAGTTATTCTATCGACGGTGACTTTTCACGTTTTATTGTGGATGTTGGCGGTACATTTGGGAAGTATATGTGAATGTGGATTCCGCTTTTGTGATTGAGGTTTGATTATAACTTCGCCCTATTTACATGTGAGAAGAGTTCTTCTTAGTTCTTCAGGATTTCTTCCGGCACTCTGGTTTCTACTTTCAGTATTAAAACTAGATAATAGATGTCCTAACTGAACCTCCTATAGTTTAGAAGTGACGGAACTGTCAAGTTCAAATACAGTTAGTGTGGTCAAATTTTTAATATTTGCATGTATTACCATGGATAATAAAATAAATGGATAGGAAACTAGCTGACGTGACCTAATGTTTTTACTGGGATTGATGGCGTGGTTGGATGCCTCAACCTAGTTGAAAATCAAATTCTCAAAAACGGCATGTTTAGCAATAATACAGCTAAACATTTTAGTCAAATAGCAAATAAATGTAACCACGCCATTCTACGATGAAAACTCTAAGTATTCCCAGTTAATTTTAGCAAATATTTCAAGCACTAAACAGTGAAAAATACATCGCAAATTTCGTTAAAATTTGTGACGCCAATTTCGTAGCTACAATTGTAAAAAAATACAAAACAAAGACGAAAAACATTTACCTTGAATACTTTGTCGTGGCTTAGGCATGTTTTTAAAACAATTAGACCAGTTTACGCTTCAAGATCACCCTTTTAAAGTGGAAAATATAGCAAAACAACAAATATGCCGAGAACTTTGGTAACATTCGCAATACGCGTGACGTCACGTTTTTCAACAAGGGTGCAGTTAATGACGTCAGAAGTTTCCAATCCATTTATTGTATTATCCATGGTATTACTGTGGCGAGGTTTTTTACCCTCGGCTGCTTTATGTTAAAAGGAGTCGAGAATGTAACTTGTAAAACTGCATGTTTTGTACACCATTTAGCCGTCAAATATTCTGTTTGCCCTGGATGGTACGGTCAAAGTGGGCGATTTTGGGTTAGTTGCAGCATGCCATACTTCATCAGATGAAGACAGTGGTTTTGATGGTTAGTTTCACAAATATTTCAAATGTCCACTTTCCTGATTCTCTTCAAGTATTGTTTACTGAAATTATTGATACGCTTGTTTTGACCATTTGTGGTCTCTGATTATTTAGAATTAACACATTCCTCCAATCAAAATTTGACTGGCCAGGTTGGGACACAACTTTATGCGAGTCCGGAGCAGGCAAGTATTGCGAATGAGTATTTAACTAAGGACGATTACTCGATATCCATATTTCTAAATTTATACATGCATTTTAACTATTCTAAATATGGCGGAGTGTTGACCCTGGATGTAATGTTTTTAGCTTGGGCATGTTTACTGTGTAATTAATGTAGACTATATGACCATTTACTCAATTGTGTTACTCCATATTTTTCAACAGGAGGCTGGAACAAATTATTGCTTTCGAGCAGATATATTTTCATTGGGAATCATATTTTTTGAACTATTCCATATTTTTTCCACACAGATGGAACGACTGAAGGTGTGTTCTTATGTATTTTGCTTCTCAGATTGTATTGTCACTGTTTTTGCAAAACTGCCTAAATGTTATGGGACAGCAAATACAGGTGGCCAATTTCAGAGATGTTAGCTCCTTTGATCTTTCAGTCCTATTTATTTACCACCAAGAACTATAATACATAACTCTATATCCTGTGTTTTTTTCTTTAGACTTTAACTGCCGTAAGAAAGAGAAACGTACCAGAAACGTTCTCAAAAGATCTGCCGTTACAGGTCAGTCAATATTCTATCCTTTCTTTAAACTAGTCGGTTACTATCAATACTTCCCATTCGTCAATTACCATCGGAAGAAGCAACCATATTCAATATAAATATCATTCTCCTTTTTTCAGAGCGAACTTGCCTTATGGCTTCTTGCAGAGAGCCCATCAGACAGACCTTCGGCTCAGGCAATCTCAACAAGTCGTGTTTTTTCAGAACTGTTAAACAGATTAACACCATCACAACCAACAACAACTAGTGAAACAACACATAACCCGTGAGAGCCTGGGAACGAGATTGATCCAGTGGATTGATCCCATTGATCTCTGTGTAAACTGGAAGGCTAAGTGAGGGGGGGGGGGGATTGAAGCCAGTGCATTTTAGTTTTTCTGCGTTATGAGCAGAAGTACTCAACACTGAACGTTGTGCTGTATATGAAACTGAAGCTATTGAAAAACGCTGTTTGGTGTAGAAATTTCAAGACTTTACCTGAAACAGTAAAAGGAAAATATTTAAAAACTACGAAAATAAATGCCGATAATTTGCCATTTTTTTGATAGAATGGCAGTTGTTTTTGTATTTTTAAAATATTTTTCTTTTCGCTGAAGTCTTGAAATTTCCACACCGAATTGCAATTTTCAATAGCTTCAGTTTGATATATAGCCCAACGTTTGGGATCAAGTATTTCTGCTCATGCATAACTCAGAAAAACTATTTTGGCTTCAGCAAATCATCAGGCTTATTATTATTTATAGGAGTTAGCCTTTCAGTTTACATAGAGTTCACTGGTTGATCCATGCCATTTCGTAAGGCCAAATGTGATCCCCAGACACGCGTGTTCGCTTCTGGTTACGTAGTATACTTGTGCTTAACTCACGCGTACAGAGTTTTCTTTCTTGGGTTTTTAGGCTCTGATCTCAGAGTACAGTGGAGCATATACCTTCATGAAATGATACAATCATGAATCATGTTGATATGTGGATTTATATTTAATGTATATATTATGTTGTACAGTTAAAAACAAAACAACAACACTATCATATTTACTAATGCGTTCTTTAAATTGTCTCGTCCGACTGTTTTTCTTCGCCACGAATGACGTCATCTAGTGGTTCATTCAATGTTTGGGACATTCTTGCCAGGCAAATATCACACTGTTCTTTATTTGCTTCCAACGTTGCCAGAGTCTCGGGATTGAACATGGTCGCTGCGTCAATATTTTGCTTGTGAACGCGGACTAGAAAAATAGAAGCTACGTTTTCAGACAATGAAAGTAACCTTTCTTTAATATGAAACTCTCTAATACTAACTGGCCTGACTTATCAAGACGATACTGGACAAACTTGTTGCGAGGCTGTTGGCCTCATCACCCAAGATGATAACAATTTTTTCCAGACTTGTCAACAACTGAGAACAAACATTGCAAACAGTTCTTGTTGACAAGCTGTGAGTGTGAGATTTTATTTTTTCGTGCCAAGGGAAAAACAAATTTAGGCAATGCGGTGAAAACTTCGTCTCGTAACCGGTGGTGTATTAACGCTGTAATCGGATGGTCTGTGGTCCTGAAGAAAAGTGAGGGTCCGGAACACCCCTCTCCCCGTGGCTACGCCTGTGATCTCTGTGATGAACTATTATGCCTATTCAAGAACCATCAATACAATCTAACTGTATACACATACTTGAGGCGTCGTTCAATTTTCGTTTCATTTGAACAAGTTCCCTTTGTAAATCCTCGAGATTTTTCATCTGTCTGTTGCACTCCTCGTTATCTGCCTCGGGTATAGCGTAGAAAAAGCAGATGGAATACAAGTTAACAAAGGAAGGCCATCGACAAAGAGCCTTAGCTCGAAACGTCGATGTTCTGCTTATATTTTTCAAGTATTTAAAAATCTATCTCCCAGTTTGCAGCTGATGTGTTTTTGGCATGGGCCACTTGGTGGCATTAAATTTTTTTTTATAAAATTGTTCAGTTTTATTTGTTAATGTTTCTATAAATTTATAAAATGTGTATCAGGAAAATAATTTTTTTATAGAAGAATTAAATAAGAATAAGATAACGTGAAGTTAAAATAAGATAACGCGAAGTTTAAATAGCCTATTAAAATAGATGTGAAAAAATAAATAGCAAGTCTTTCGTCACACTCGCTTTTAATAGTGAAATTTATGGTTGTATAATACCGTCAGAAATGTTTTTATTCTGATACTGGTTGTTGTTTCTTGCGTCCTGCAACTGAAAGTATTTCTAATATTAATTTTACAATATAGTTTGCTTGAACGACAAAGGAAAAGTATAAAAATGCGAAAGTGAAAGAAAATTTTATATGTGCAGTTTTAAAAGCGTTTTTGTTATATATTTGATATTCCAATTGGGCTTACCTGAGAAATAGTTTGTCTTTCTGACATTTCAACGACACTTTCTATTCTGTTTTTGTGGTTTTGGCAGTTGCAAAGTGAAAGAAAAATAGGTTTTTACTGTAATTTCATTAATTTGAAGCGAGATTTGAAGAAAAATGTTATGAATTTTTTTCTAAAATTGCGAAATATTCACTAACTTGGCGCTTCTAGTTGTGCCGTTCTTATTGGTCACAATTGACCAATCACAAAGTGCTTTATATTCATCGACCAATGGAATTGGCCCTTATTTTAACGAAATAAAACCACTGGTAAAACACAGTGACATCATGGCGTCCGTGGCAAGGTGTTATATTCTCTGGTTGTCTTGTTATAAATTCTGGCGAGCTGATATTTGCTCCTGATAAAAAGAAAGCTGTTCTGTACTTGTGTTTATGTGCATTTGAAATGGCAAAAGTCATTGAGACGATCGTAATCTCCAGTGGGGAGGAAAATGAAGATTTAGGTACGAAAGAAGCATCTGGCAGAAAAGATATTATTGACTTGACTACATCTCCAAGTTTTCGTCTCAGTACATCAAAACTGAAAGCTTTAAGAAAATCGCGGAAAGAACGAAATAGATTGCGCAGCACTACCAATATGCACAACAATGACACTGCAGCTATAAACGTATTAACAGAGTCACCCAAGGAGTCTCCGATCAAGTCTTCACCATCAAAATTGTTACAAATTGATCGAACAAAATTAAAAGAGTTACGTGCTGTTGTGAGAATTCATTTAGAAAGAAGCCCTAATACTAAGAGTTCGATCAAGAGAGAAAAGTCGGTAAAGTTGTATAAATTGTGTATTAACTTTCGTTTTCTCAAATCTACTATATACTATTATTTAAAACAATACACCCTCTGGAGACTGGAGAGTATCTTGAAATGTCAGTATAGGTATATAAACCTGAGTATCGGGCTTTATTTTACAAATAATAGTCTGACACAAACCTTAATCTGATCGCTTTCTTTCCACCCACAGCAAAGTTTATATTTAGTATCCAATCAAAATGTTGCAGGAGAAATTTAAATTTCACACAACGACAACAACAATCTAATTATAGTTGTGATCACTATAAAATATATCAACAACAATAAAATAAGTGATTTTAATAGTAACTAACGTAATTATTAACAGTTTCCGCCGGGCATTCTTTCCCAACTTCCCGGGCATTCAATGAATGTTCCCGGGCATTCTTTAGTAGGACCGCCTATAACTATTGGATGTCCTAATGGGCTATTACATTTAAGAACTAACCCCTCCTGTTGAGGACCTTTGCTTTTGTGGATTTTTACATCTCTGGAAGTGCATTTTAACCCCTCTGGAAGCAATGGTGGATCCAGCAAAGTTTTTTTTGGGGGGTGCTAACCCTTTGGGTGCTAATCCTCCCTAGGGGGAGTGTGGTCTTTTCTGGAATGACCCATTCTAAAGGTCAACAGTAACAAGATAAAGCTGAGATCATGAAAATGAGGCTCTATAGCACTTTACAAAAGGGTCTATTACAACAAATGCTTAATGTAATCCATTAAGACACAATATGCCCTTATGTACTGTACCCAACTCTGTTATATTCTTACCCGGTTAAGAAAATCATGTTACCCATAAAGGGAAAAGTGTTGCATTTTGATCGAAAGGAATGAAATGTCCGCCATCTTCAATTTTGTAGATATGCATGTCACATCACAACAGGGATCATGCAATATTTTTATCTAGACAACCACTAATCATTTTGCACTCAAAACTATACTCTGCCCTTCGAAATATCAATATCACTCAAAACCTTTCAAACATCTACCAAACATCTACCAATCAATATTTGGTCAGCAATGAATACTTTTATATGGTTAATCCCTTTTGTGATGTCACCAAAACTACCGTTAATGAGATAAAAAATTTATCCAAGATGGTGGACATGTCATTACTTCAAGTGAAAATATAGTTTCAAAAGTTCTTTCAAATGAGAAAATAAAAATTTATGTTGCCATTGCCCTTTACAGGTAAACTATGTGAAGCGTTCCTCTTTTGACTTTCTAACTCGTTTGGAATTTTCCTCATTAGCTTTGCAAATTTGAAAAACTCTTTGCAAATCCCTTGAGGGAATTTGCAATGTTCCTATCGGCTGTTGCAATATTGCAATGCAAAAAACTTCATTTTAAATTTTCATAACTTCCTGTTTTAATTTCCTGACTTCCTGTTCTTTTCTGAGCGTTGTCATTGGTGGATTATTTTTGTTAGCCAATTGCAACGCGCAGAACAGGAAGTTAGGAACTTGTAACAGGAAGTTAAGAACTTCTAACAGGAACTGAGGAAAATTTAATTGGCTTTTACCAACATTGCAATTCCCTCCAGGGATTTGCAAGGGAGTTTATTAAATTGCAAAGGTAATGAGGAAAATTGCAATCAATTGAGAAACTCAAAAGAGGAACGCTTGACGTCGTTTACCTGTAAAGGCTCAAGTACATTATCATAATGGGTCATTTCAGAAAACTTCAGCAACTCCCCACAGGGTCTAAAATTTGAATTTCTCAGTATCCAACTGGGATACCAGGATTCAAAGTTTAGTATCCCCTCCAGTATCCCACTTCTGGATACTGGTTACCAGAAGTATTATACCCTGTTCCATCCAAATAAATTTCCAAAGCTCTCACTGTTACAATTAAGTTACAATAACAACAGGAGATTCAACAGTCAACAATTAGACAATTCGTTAATACACAAAGAAGCACATACAGTAATATGAGGAAAGGCTTGGGTGACAGGGCATGAAATAATGTTCCCAAAGTTTCTTGATCATGGTGATTGCCAGCAATGACTATCCCTGCCTCTTCAGCTTGGAAAGCCTGCTTTTCCACCAATCATAAGCTGATCATTGATCGTCTGTTATTTCAAGCACTGGGGTAGCGAACTCATAGTATTCAAAAGCTATCAGGAGACTGTCAGAGGTGCTTAACATTTTCCTAATGTTTGAAATTTTCTTAGTATCCAGTTGGGATATAAGTCATTCACAGTTTGGTATAAAAAAAACAAATTTTAGTATCCCATGGGTATCGGACCCAGCAAATTTAGGTTGCAAACTATATATGACCACCTTTTCTTGCTCAAATTGCACTGTTTCATGCTACCTGCCTACAAATTGTTACACTTACTGTGTAAATCAAGCACATTACTTGCCTATGTTGTTGTAGGTATGTGAGTTGTGTGTTTTACTGTATTTACACAGTATAACTCAAGATGTAAGCTGGTTGCATGCGAAAGTTTTAGACAAAAGTTGCATAATGTAAATCAGCCTTTAGTTGCCTTAAAGTGCATGCAATATAGCTGCATGACCAATGCCTTCATGGTTGAAAAATTATTGTTACAGCTTTGTGAGATACACACTACACAGTTATACAGCTATCATTTAATGGTTTTCAAGAATTTTTTTTTTGGGGGGGGGGAGGTCACATTTCCCAAACAAACCCAAATCAGGACACAGAGTCCCCTTTCAAATGTTCTGCACTTCTTCTGAAATAGTTAGCTATTCTATTGTCAGGATGATGAAATGGACGTGCTACCTGAAGGGATCGTCCCATCACCACCGCAGAATCAAGCCATGAAAAAGTATTATCCATTATGCAAAGCATCACCCACACAGAAGAACTTGCTCCAGTATCTGAAGTCGTCACCAAAACGTAACCATTTGGGAGATGTTTTTGACAAGATGTCATTATCTCCATCCAAAACCAAAACAACACCTCAGAAGACCCAATCAACACATCAGAAGACCCAATCAACACATCAGAAGACCCAATCAACACATCAGAAGACCCAATCAACATCTCAGAAGACCCAATCAACATCTCAGAAGACCCAATCAACACCTCAGAAGACCCAATCAACACCTCAGAAGACCCAGTCAACACATCAGAAGACCCAATCAACACATCAGAAGACCCAATCAACACATCAGAAGACCCAATCAACACATCAGAAGACCCAATCAACACCTCAGAAGACCCAATCAACACCTCAGAAGACCCAATCGACACCTCAGAAGACCCAATCAACACCTCAGAAGACCCAATCGACTCCTCAGAA